ATATTTCTATCTCTGCAGTTTCTAATGTTACCTTCAAATGTAACACAAGATCATAGCCATGATGAACCCAAAAAACCTTCAACATATATATTTTTTTTCGGAAAAAAAAAGTGAACATATGTTACTGCATCTAATGTACAGGAAACCTCAAAATTAAGACCAAGTTCTAAACCAAGAAGACAAAAAGAATAAAGTCTAGTTGCTGGCAAGTATACGATTCTGTCGGGAGTTAACCGAGTTCTAAAATATAGTTGCAACAGTAGATGATCCTAAAAGGGCGAAAAAAAAAAGGGTTAGCCCTTATTTAGTATAGTTTTGTCCATTAATGATACTTTGTTCAATCCTTTAGACGAACACGAAAACAGAGTCACCACTGCAAGGTTCGGGTGATTGTCTACCTGCTGACTCCCTAAATAACATCACAGCCCGGCTCGTCAAACGGCACATTCAGGTCGGGAAGGACGAACTTTGCATCTGTTTTTGCTTCAAGGCATGCACTTGATGTCAATGATTCTTGTGCAATGTCACTTTGCAGGACTGCTGTTGGAATGTGATGAGCGGTTGCCTCCGGTTGGAGTTGATCGGAAGTTGATTCCTCTGCTGCAAATGTGGATTCCAGTTGTTTGTCCAAACAGGGTTGCAATTCAACCTGTGTGGAAGTAGGGAATTAATGTTTTGTAACACATGCAAAAGATGTAATTAGTTCGATAAATTTTCCTTCCATTAGTTACTGGTTCAGGGAAGTAGAGCAGAGTACACACCGAAGGGTAATCTTAATGATTTCTAGTTTCAATAGTATGAGGTACATCAGAAAAGAGGAAGAAAAGCTGAAGGTCAGTTTAATGATACCTTTATTCTCTTCAAATTGTCATTTGTGGCCCTTTGTGTCTCCATATACAAACGTAAGACTGCCATTTCCTGAGAAACAAAAGGGAGTTTGATGGTAATGCCACATACTAACAGTACCAGCAGACAGCTTAACTGAACAATCACTAGCGGGTGAAAAAAGTCCAATACCCTTTTCAAATCACTTCTTTCATTCAACAGCAATTTCTCCTCGTTTTTGAGCTCTGCCAGGGTCTGAATGGCAATTAAGAATGAGCACGTAAATTAGGACAATGAACATATTTCTGCACATAAATACACTATGCATGCACGCAATCACCAGGAGTTATATCGGATGGTCCTCGATTTATAGAATAATCAATGGGATTATTGTAGATTTGTAATCATTGCAAGACAGATAGATGGTCCTCAGGGAAAAGAAAATCTACATGTGGATATACAAGTCCATAATTCCAAAGATTACATCTTTTGTTTAAAACATGCAAATCATATTGCCCTGGTTCAAATGCAAAATATGTACTATGTGTCGGGTACACTGCATAATGCCAAAGATATAATTTGATTACACTTATGAAAGCCATTCATGTAATGATAGATCAAGAAATGTGCCATTTTCATGCCAACAGATGGAAGTATGGGCACAAGATATGTCCACCTTCTTTTTTCTTGACCTCTTGGAGTTGGTTTTCTCACTATCAACGTGGACCTGCAACAAGAAAATGTAGGGTTACGCCATTTTGACAAATATCCAAAATTTAGATGTGAAGTCCTATAATTCAAAAAACAGTTTTATTTTACATTTCCAATGCCAGACTGGACAAATAAAATAAACAAACAGGATTTACATGCATCATCATGTGCTCCCGTTAAGAATCTAACAGTATACAAACACAATACGGAGGGCGACAACGACCAATTAGCTAGAATTAACTACATGACCACAGCGCAAAATATTTGTTGTCTACAAATACAACATTTGTACTTTGTCGTTTACAAGAGATGGGTAATTCAATTAACTGCCCAACCAAAAATCCGTCGATTATACGAGCACGGAGCGCAGTACCACCTCTAACCTTCGTATTTTTACAGATAACTTACAACCAAATGAACGGTCCACATAAAAGAACAAGAAAATGCCAATCTGTTGCTGGCTTTCGCAGAAATCGTTAAATTTAGTGGCTCATGGTATTAAAGCCCATAAGTGTATGAAGCTAAATTGTATAGGAATCAACATCTCTTG